TTCAACCAGGCAACAATGAGCAAGCGGCGGCCTCATCGTCTAAAACTTGACACTGTGCACATATCAAATATCCTTCCCTCTCTTTTAGTCTCTTAGCCACACTATCGCCGAGAAGAATCTAGATTTTGGACCTACTGAATGCCGAATGCTGCGAAGCGAATGGAAAGAGAGTCTCAACAGACCACATAGAACCTAGATTGAACGAACCACGTGGGTAGATCTAGAACTATAACGGGCAAATCAATTTGGGGTGTTTTTCAGAGTATTTATTATAGTTTATAGTTCATACATTGGTGTATTTTAAAAATGTTTTTGGTAAGTGTTTTACGGCGCTCGCAGCTGCATAAGGTCATATGAGCATGCAGGACACAGTAAACATTATTAGTTGGTCGGAAATTTAAAATTTTGCTTGGGTGGCAGCCGAAGTCTACTCTTATCGATTTTGGACCTCCAAGGGATCGTTAACGTTCGTAACTTGCACCTGGGACCTCCGAGATTTTTCGCCCTTTTCCGAGAAGGCTAGGTGTAGATCTTTCCTACCAGAAGATCAGGGGTGTGGCTGAAAGACATTAGTAAGAAGGAGCCAAGCCAAGGAGTAGGAGTAGAACGAGAGGCGAACACCTTAACTGCTAGGTCACAAGAGCCCCTTATAAATGTATACTGATGTTAAGCACACAGACAAGAACTAAACTGAATGAAGAAGAGGTAGAGATAGAATCTATGCCTAACGTACTGGGTGTCGAATGCGGCGAAATGAGTCGAACGAAGTCTCAATGCATCGCATCGATCTAGATTTCCCGTATCTCATAGATAGATCTAAGAGGATTATGCATCCACGTAACTGAGAAATTCACAGGCATTCATAGATTGTTGTGATAATCCGATTTTAACCCCAATATTCTTAGTCCTACACCCCTACCCCTAACGTTACCCCCAACAGATATACTAAGTTATCATAGTTGATCTAGTTTGCCTACTCTTGGGGACACAACATTTTGCCCGTCTTTTTTTCCTGCAGAATATAATATAATAATATATTAATATAATATTTAATTATTGCCCAATATCATTTATACTGTCGTAGAGCACAGCGACAAAACTAAACTGACCTATAAAAATGCTAAATTGGGAATGTGAAACTAAGACCAACTATAATAAACGTGGCACTTTGACCGTACTTGGTCCTATCTTCAGGTCTCCGTTTGACGTGTCGGTCCAAAGAACACTGTCTGAGAGATTTGCCTCGGCACAACTTCCCAAAGACAAACTCGCCAAATGGCTGGACAGCTCTACAAAACTGCTCTTTGTGCGAGACCCCTACTCGCGTCTCTTCTCCGCCTACATCGACAAGCTCATGTCTCCCAACCCCGTGTACTGGAAGCAATGGGGCCAGCCCGCTATTTTAAAGTTCCGGCAAAACCCAAGCGGAAGCAGGAAAGGTCACAGACCGTGCGGCGATGACGTCACGTTCAAAGAGTTTGTGTCTTTCGTCACCGATTCGGGCTGGCGCTCGGACGTCCATCTTATTCCTATAAATAGACTCTGCACGCCGTGCACTTTCCACTATACCGTCATCGGGAAAATGGAGACTTTCAAAAGGGACGCGGTGCATTTATTGAGCTATCTCAAGATGTCTGAAAGCCAGATAGGATTCGAACGTATGGACTCTGACGCTGTTGTCGACGCAATCGAAGACTCCAGCAAGGACTCTCTGTCTCCCAACTGGCTCAAAGACACCCTCAAATGCATCAACAAAGAGGGCGTGGCCAAGAGAATCTTGAGAAAGTTGCAGATTCGTGGCTTCGTCAGCTGGCGATATAAGCTCACACTCACGTCAGACGAAATACGAAAACTGGATTTTCGGACATTTGTGAAATTATTGACGGAATCCAGAAAAGACCCGCTCTTCAATAAAACAGAACTGAAGATTCAGAAAAAGCAAGCTTTTCTAGAGGCAATGATTACTCTAGAAGACTCTCAGTTTATTGATATACAGAATTTGTTTTTTGAAGACTTCGTCATGTTTGGTTATGACGCGATTCCTAGCGTGCTGAAGAAGGCGGAGACTGGCTCAATAAAACTCACAAACGCCCTGGACTGGACAAAGGATTGGGACTTGTCGCCTGTCTTGTGACGGAAATGTCTGTGTGCATGTCGTTAGGAAGTGTCCACATGAATGAGTGATGAGTGGGTTATTACAGTATATAAAACGCATAAATATAATATAGTGTTACAATAATGTGCATGCTGCTTTTTTAGATGTTACCACCCATTTAAACTATGTGTGTGTACATGTGTGTGTATGTGTGTATGTGTGTGTGTGTGTGTGTGTGTGTATGTGTGTATGTGTGTGTATGTGTGTGTGTGTATGTGTGTGTGTGTGTGTGTATGTGTATGTGTGTGTGTGTATGTGTATGTGTGTATGTGTGTGTATGTGTGTGTATGTGTGTATGTGTGTATGTGTGTGTGTATGTGTGTGTGTGTGTGTTTATATGTGTGTGTATGTGTGT